GTAATTGGGGACAATCTTCCTATAATAACCGGCTGTCCATAGAAAAGCCAGCATCTGGGTCTTAGTGAGTGGACAGGGCCAGCTAGCTACTGCCTCCACTTTGGTGGGCTCTGGCTTCAGTGTCCCACACCCCACCCGGGGACCCATGTACTGCACAACCGCCACCCCCAGGGTGGGCTTCAGGGTCAATCCTGCCTCCCTAATCCTGTACTGCACAGCCTCCACATGTATCAAGTGTTCCTCCCAAATATCGCTGTATATGGCGATATCGTCCAGGTATGCACAGGCATATTCCTGGAGGCCATCTAACAGCCGGTCCACCATCCTTTGGAAAGTGGTCAGGGCGTTCTTCATCCCAAATGGCATTACCTTAAACTGGTACAGGCCAAAGGGAGTGATAAAAGCAGACTTCTATGGACCCTGCCTGAGTCCCATCCTCCAAGAGGTCAGGCAGGGAAAGATTGCCAAAATCTTCCGAGGCTGGCGCGCAAATGGCGATGACATCCTCAGCCCACTTGTGGTAGGGCTTGAGCATGTTCACATGTAAAAGGCGTCGGACTCTGGTACCCGAGCATGGACCGATCACATAGGCAGTGTCCTCTTTCCGGTCAACTAACCAGTATAGGCCCTGCCAGGCAACCTGTCATGTCGGACGGGTTTCAACACCAAAACCTTCTGCCCGACTAGAAAGCTATGGCTCCTGGCGCCCCGATCATACCCTTTGCACTGGCGCTTCTGGGCCACCTGGAGGTTCCCTCACACAAGACGGGTGAGTTCCTCCAGTCGGTCCTTAAATTCCAACACATATGCAACAATGGGGGTCCCTTGCTGATCCTTAGCTCCCTCCCAGTGCTCCTGCACAGGGTCTAAGGGTCCCCTCACTCTACAGTCGAACATTAGCTCGAACGGAGAGAACCCAGTCGATTCCTGCAGCACCTCCTGATAAGCGAACAGGAGATGGGGCAGGAATTTCTCCCAATGCTTGTGAGTTGCTGCAAAGGTATGGAGCCTTTGCTTCAAAGTGCCGTTGAAGTGCTCGCACAGGCCATTGGTCGGGGGGTGGTAAGAGGAGCTCAGGATCGGTTTAATGCCGCATAACTTCCACAGTTGGTGGGTCATGTCGGCAGTAAATTGGGTGCCCTGATCCGAGAGAATCTTCTGTGGAAAACCCATCCGCATAACTTCCACAGTTGGTGGGTCATGTCAGCAGTAAATTGGGTACCCTGGTCTGAGAGAGCCTCCCGGGGAAAACCTATCCGGGAGAACACTCGCATCAGGGCTTCAGCCACAGTCTCTGTCCAGATATTGCTTAGGGTGACTGCCTCAGGATACAGAGTCACATAGTCCACAACTTCTTCCCAGAGGGACTAGGCTTGGCTAGGGGACCTATAATATTGACAGCTACCCTGCCGAACGAATCTTTGATAGGTAAGGGATGGAGGGGGGGCCCTGTGCAGGTCCTCCTGTTTCCCCACTCTCTGGTAGACATCGCAGGTCTGGCAGTACTGCCTCAGATCCTGAGAGATGCCTGGCCAGAAGAAGTTTTGGGTGAGTTTTGGGGTACAATGGTTGACAACCTTTATTTGGGCACACAGCTTTTTATGCACAGAACACAAATCCCAGGCAGGAGGGGACTGGGTTGCAGATAACCATTAAGAATATTTTAGCTCCTCCTGAATTTTGGTAATTTTAGATGTGGAGGAAGACTTTGTATTACATGTTTTCCATCCATCATGTAATGCCCAATTTTACTTCAATCTAGCTGGCTTTGAAATCTCCTATAGGATTAATTGTAATAAGATATATGTAGGATACCTTTTTTATGTGGTTGTAGCTTTCAATATTTAGGCCAGACCTAAGGAAAGATTGTCCAATGTAGGAAGCATTGTACATCGATTCTTAATCGATCTATAGATAATACTCTCACCACAAAAGTTTACACATAGAGGTACACCAACAACATTATCAGTTTTAGGCTCCCACTTCCCAGAAGGAAGTTTCTATTAATATCTTAAACCAAGTGGATATATATACACTAGAAACTATAGTTTTAAAAGGTTGTAACGAGAATTTTGATGTAGGGCTGTTGTAATTATTTCATGTTATGATTTATTTCTGGTTTTATATTTTTCAAATTTTTACTTTATCTTCCTATTTCAATGTTCTCATAGTGAATAGTGCATTGATACATTTGTCTGCTAAATAAGGTGATTTTATTTCTTTCCTGCCACTAGTTGGCAGAAATTTTGTTTATTTTAGTTATGAAACATCTTCCCTTGTTGTTTGTATTTTATTAGCTTGGTCATAGGAGGGGATCCTCTTAATTGCCTTCCATAGGCAGATTCTCCATAGTAGGTGTTTATATCCTATAACACTATATAGTATATTTCACTTTTATTTATGTGTACGCGTGTTCGCCTTATACCTTCATGTACATGTGATAATTTACTGTTTTGTGAGTGTATTATAGAAGTTGTTTTTTTAAAACCAATTTTGCAATTTTCTGCATTCTCCATTATATATCTTGCCTTCATTACTGTTTGCACCACTTTTTCTTGTTGAGGCAGCAATCAGTTTTTAATTTCATCTTATAAAATATATATATATATTTATCTATCTAATTCAGGGGTCATCAACCTGGTGCCTAGCTCCCACTTGTGGGTATTTTAGGATTCCAGGTGGGCGGTAGTGGGTTCTACACAGGGCCGTCTTTAATTCTGATTGGACCCTGGGCAAGCATTAACTTGGGCCCCCTGACTACATATAGATACACACAAATACAAAACCTGACACACATGCAGATACACACTGACCGCATATAGATACACACAAGAACATACAGATACACACAGACTACATATAGAACACTGACACACAGATAGACACAAACACAGATACACAACCTGACAAACATGCAGATACACAGATACAAACACTGATACATGCAGATACAAAGGTACACACACTGACTACATATAGATACACCGACACACACACTGACACACATACAGACACACAGATACACAACCTGACACACATGCAGATATACATATACAAACACGGACACATACAGATACACACTGACTATATATAGATACACACACAAACACAAACGGACAACATACAGATACAAAGGCACATTCTGACAGACGTACTGACACAGAGACACACACAGACAGCCATACTGAAACACACATACACACAGACATACAGAACCACATGGACACTGACAGACTCACAGACATTATGGCACACATACACACAGACAGACATACTGAAACACACATACACACAGACACTGACAGACGTACACACATACAGACATTTTTACACTCACAGACAGCCATTCTGAAACACACATACACACAGACACTGACAGACGTACACACATACAGACATTTTTACACTCACAGACAGCCATTCTGAAACACACATACACACAGACACTGACAGACGTACAGACATACAGACATTTTGACACTCACAGACAGCCATACTGAAACACACATACACACATACATACTGAACCACACAGACACTGACCGACTCACACACACACAGACATACTGACACACTGACAGACATACTGGCACATATACACACAGACGGACATACTGAAACACACATACACACAGACACTGACAGACATATTGACAAACACAGACATACAGAACCACACATACACTGACAGACTCACACACACAGACATACTGACACACTGACAGACATACTGGCACACTGACAGACAGACATACATACATACTCACACACACACACACACACACACACTCATGCAAAATTTGATAACCACCCTCCAGTTTCTTACCTTTTCCTGGAGGGTGGCTTCCCTGGGGTCCAGTGGGCTGGCTGGGGTGGCTGGGAGCTAAGCTCTCCCGGCCTGGCCCCCTTCGGAACAGCTCCTTCCTCCCGCGCGGCTCTTGTTTCTGTGGGAGGAAGTGATGCGCGGCTGTCACTTCCTCCCAGTGCTGCCGAAAAAGCAAGGGCCCGGTCGCGCTGTTAAAGCGCCACAGCGCCCGACCGGGCCCCTGCTGACACAGGCCCACCGGGTGGCCCTAAGTGCATGGGCCACCCGATGGGCCCCCATAGTTTGCGGGCAGAGGGCAAAAGGAGCAGCTGTCTTGGGCCCCCTAGCTGGGACAGGGCCCGGGGCAGCTGCCCCGTTTGCCCTGCATTAAAGACAGCCCTGGTTCTACGGCACAAGCAGAATCCTCCCTCCATCCAGAGAAATAAATGCACTATTCATCTCTCGCGCACTCAGTGGTTAGCAGGAAGTGCGGGCGTGCATATGCGAGCGCGCAAACGAGTGTAACACGCGGGTTGAGGAAGAGGAGGAGTTGGAGTAGGGGATACACATAGCAGGGAGCGGAGTACTTGTAAAATAGGAGAGCGAATGAGCAGAGTATTTGTAGAATAGGAGAAAGAAGGAGCAAAGTACTTGTAGAATAGGAGAAATAAGGAGCAGAGTGCTTGTAGAATAGGAGAAAGAAGGAGCAGAGTACTTGTAAAATAGAAGAAAGAAGGAAAATAAAAAATATAGAAAGGAGAAGGAAAGAATTGTTGTTGGCTAATAATAATAAATGGGCTACCTAGCTCAGCCTTCCTGCAGGGCATTGCTATAAGGAAGGTAAAAGAAATAAAGGAATAAAGAAATAAAGGAAAAGGAGAAAAAATAGAAAAAAGGAAAAGGGGGGGGTTGAGGAGGGAGAGGAGGGGAGCTGATGCATGGATGAGAAATCATATTATGAGCAAACAGAGAAACCGTCTGAATATCACCGAAAGAGGAGACCTTTGTTTGTTCCTTACGGAAATCGAACCAGATATCAAATAGCATCAGCCTCAAGGATCTCATTAATCACTAGTTAAAGGTAATTTCAATTTACTTTATTGTTTTCTCATTAAACTTTATAAAGTTAAAAACATTATAAACATGCATAAAGTAGAAATAAAAAGATAAATTTAAGTAAATTTTTTTAAACACCCTCATTTCTAAAAAATATTCTGCCCCCCAAAAAATCAAAAACTGGTGGGCTGTAAGGAAATCAAGAAAGATGCATTAGTAGGTGGTAGGTATAAAAAGGTTGACTACCCCTGATCTAATTAATGTTGGAATATTAGTTACAGGGGTTGCCACCTACTCTTGATTTCCTATTTCCAGCCAAAGGAGGAGAGGGGATAACCATAGCTCTTTTTGGGCTTCAAGGTGCTCTTTTATCTTCTTTCTTGTGAGTGCAACCATTATTTGCCACTTTCACATATGTTATAATACATCACTATTTGCTGTAGATTTTTGGTATTTTAGTTTATATCTATAGATCTTTTTATGCTTTATAATTTTTTGCTAAATCTTACAAATTCGGTTTTACAAATTCATGCTGAGCAGTTTTCCAAAATATTGCTGGTTCCATAAACTAAAGAGGTGAAACCTTATATATACATAGAATGCCTTATTACTTTAATAACTTTTAAGAAAGTAAGATGTAGAAAAGGCAAAGAGGATGTAAAAAATTATGCAAAATTCACAACTGTTATTTATTAAAACATAAATTGTTGAGAATTCATTAGGAAAGCACAGAAAAAAATCATAAAACTAAAAGTCTACTTTCTCTCCAGGATGGCTGTTTTGGTAAAAAAAAATGCAGGATCCCTTGGTCACCCCATGATAAGTCCTGGTTTATTAAATAGTTAATATTTATTAGGAAATTTCCCATTTTGGTCAAATTAGAAAAATATTAAACTCAAGTTATTTTGCCCTATATAGGACGGTGATGGCGAACCTATGGCACGTGTTCCACAGGTGGCATGCCAGGCCCTCTCTGTGGGCACGCGGCCATAGGTCGCTGGGGGAGGGAGCCGCTAGCGCCAGTTGCCAGCAATGCAGACTAGGCACCCGCCTGTCCAAAATAGCAGGCGCCTACTCTGCTTTCATATCGGTTGGGTGGGTGGGATGGAGGGCTGCGAGGGAGCACTGACTTACGGCACGTTCCAGCACTGCTCCCTCCGCTGATGCCGCAAGGAGACAGGAATTTATGTCAATCGGGCGCTGCTGCTTGATTGAAGTAATTTCCTGTTTCCTGGCAGCATCAGCGGAGGGAGCAGTGCTGGAATACCAGGTAAATCAGTGCTCCCTCACGCCCACACCCCCTCACAGCAGCGGGAAGGAATTGGATACACCAGGTAGGGAGCCTGGGTAGACTTCAAACCCCCTCCTGCACCAAAAAAAATTAAACATTATTTATGTGCTGGGAGGGAGAGGGGGATATACTGGTGGAGGGGCGGGTATGCTGGGTAGTGTAGGGAAGATGATGAGGGGAGAGAAGAGGAGATGCTGGCACTCGGGCTCAAAAAGGTTCGCCATCGCTGATATAGGATATCTTAAAAATGCTATTATGGTCATAACTACAAGGCAAACAGACTGAATACCATTTAAATAAATGGGAGCCACACACATGCACTATAGATGTAAGAGGTTCCCATTAATATTTTCAGTTGAATGGGAAGCAGCTGTGCATTGTGCATGATGAGTGGACTATGTTCATATGCATGGATAAAATTAGGGCACAATTATTTGCACACAAATTTACCTACAAAAACTTGCTAGAAAGTGGGGTGTTCAGTGTCATACATAACTTTTTTCTTTTTAAAATCCCTTATTTTTATATTTTAAAATATGTATGGTCTATTGTAGACTGTACCTTTAAAGTCTGGCTATTTTTTTTTTTTGATGTTAAAATCAGTAGTGGAAAGCATTTATGCTGCCTGCATCCATGTTTCCATGTTTTAAAAAAAAATAATAATATTTGTTTGTATAAACTTGCTTGCCTCTAAAAAGAGGTCTTAATTTACTGCCACATATCTGGTAAGTGGAATGCACAAAGATAGGTAATTTCTATAATTTCAGGAAGACTTCAAAATGAGCATTAAACATCCCTGGAATGTTAGATACACGCACAGAGGTCCGCCTACATACACATCTCTATTTAATTGCTTGCTGTCTTTTTCTGTGCAGAGGTAGGTCACCATGACCATATGAAACCATTCAATGAGTCCCAGTGGGATAAGAGTTTTCTGACCCAGTGAATGTGTGTGTCAGACACAAAACATTTACACACAAATGCAGAATCACATTCAACTTTATAGGTGTGTCCAGCCAAGTCATAGAAACACAAGATGCAGATTATTTTTTGCTAGTTACAGACACTGAGATATACCAATCCATTTGTTTATACATAGAATTCATATACATACTTTTAAAAAAAATGACAGCTATAGCATTGTAAAAATGAATAAAAACCATTTTCCATCTAAAAATTATAATGATAAAGCAGTTGATATTCCCCAAGATCTCTATTCTACCAGCATTACTTTTTCTTTCACATATTTTTATTTTTAAATATCATCATTGTGGGTTGTTGGTCAAATAGGCCAACAATCCACAAGGGCAGCAAAAACATTAAGGAGATCAGGAGTGGCATTATGATAGAGGCATTTGAAGTGTCTGATCTGCCGGAACTATGGCCCTTGAATCGGGTACCAAACAGGGTAATATTAATTCTGTTCTCTTCTCTTCTTTGTCTTATTGTCCGCTGAGCAGGAAAAAAGAACAGAATAGAAAAATTAAGTGTGCGGGTCACAGCAATTTCACCATGGCAATGGACATGTACTAACTCTGATTTCCAACAGGCACCTTTTATAAAATTTGGGCTAAGGCACTGCAGGGGTTCAGATGCTGTTGGAAGATCAAACTTGAGTTCTGTACCTGACCACTGAAAGCCATAGTACTTAAGCTATAGCTCAACTATGTAGCTTCACTAGACCCCATAGGACATTTTTGGGGTATACCATTAGGTAGTTTCAATGGGTACTATGTAATGTGCAATTTAACAGTACCCTCTCTGAATTATTTAAGACTCAGAGACTAATCAACAAGTATCTTACAATTCTTAAGGACGATGCTAACAGCTGATAGGTAGATTCAATAAATGTGGGTGGCTGCTAGCATCGTATAGGTAGTTGATATAAATGCTCAGATATATTTATTTATATCTTTGATTACTTGGCACTACGCGACTTTAATGATAATTATAAGCAAAACAGAATAAAAGACTAACTTCTTGGCCCACTGCACTGAAGAAACTCCCTCTTTATCTACCTCAATATACCCAGGGGAATGATCCCTTGTGTTGCTGCAGCAAGAGCCTACTGCAGCAAATAATCCCTCACTTGCTTCCCTTGCTGAAGGTATGTTCCAGTGGACCGTCCTCGTCCTTGTATCTATCTATGGTGACATCCACTCCAACACTTATCATGGACATTGCGTGCATGTAAGAGGTTGTTTACAAATCCACATGTGCAGTGGCACCAATACATGGAGTATGATGGAACACACTATCCCTATTAATGCAAAGGCACTTCTTTCAGGACACTGCTATTGAAAACACTGATGTGCTAGTCTACTAGGTCTAACTTCATGGACGCAAGTCTCTTTTCAGTACTTGATGGACGTAAGTCTCTTTTCAGCTATGTAACTATGTAACTATATGTAACTTAGTAGCGATCCAGCATGGCCTGGAAGTCATCGTCAGCCAACTATGTCTAGTTAGGTTAAGTTCATCCAATATAGTTCTATTTGTCCTGTCAAAGATTTGTATTGTCTAGATCAGTTGTTAAAAATGCTATTGCGATAACCTTTTTTTGCCATAAACATCACTATATTGTGTATGACCCTGACCTTCAAACTAGGCTCACCACTATCCAGCCCTATTTTTTGCCACTCTCCAAGTTATCTAGTCCACTGTCAAAACAAAATTGGGATGCCTATTTACTCGTATCATCATTTCAGCATTGTTTACAATGACATTTAAGTTCTAAAATGATACAATATTTGCAACTAATAAAAGATATTAAACGGACAATAGGTTATCTTTTGACAAATGGGTATTACAGGTAGTTATACAATCAAAGAGCTAGTGGTCAGAATGGCACAAGGTCTGGTTATGGTGTAAGATTAACATGGCAATTATAGATATAAAGCACATTTCTACTGAATGACCCCCCGGAGTTTTTTGTTTTTTTCCAACTAATGGCATATAAGATCTGTGACCCAAGTTGCATAAAAGTCCCAGATGCATAATCCCATGGAACTGCAAAGTAAAATTATTAATATTATTTTAAGGTCTGAGTTAAAACTCAGTTTATCTCACAACGAATATTTGCAATGCATCAAAAATATCTATAAAGTGCAAGTATGCATATATCTATCTATATATACATACAAAAACACACATATATATAGCAAGACTCAAACTGCCAAGTCCTATGTTCCAAGACAGAAATAAAAATTGCTCACCACCGCAAGCCTAAAGGGCACACTCAGCAAAAGTACATTTCTACTCGCCAATGGCCAGTGGAAATTTTGAGCCCTGGCTTTAAGTCTTACATTTTATTTCCCAGAAATTGTCTGATTGAACCTGTGCACAGATCAAATATGGACTGTTACAGAGGGTTCATAAGATAAGCTAAAATGTAAGCATCCTTATGGGCTTTCTTACAAAATTAATTTAACTTTACAGAAAATTATACTATAACATTTCAGTTTTCATGTGTAAACTATAATGTGAAGGGGTACTCTAAGCAAGGTAACCATCACAGCTCAATGTAATGGTTAAGCTGTCAATATACAGTATATTGGGCATTGTCCAACTATTGAACTATTTTGAAAAATATAGGGCTTTACATGGAAACTAGAGACTGCACCCCCAGGTGGATTGACCGTCAATGTCAATTCTATCCAACTAGTGATTTTCTAAAATGGTTTCAGCTGTAAGCACTCCCCTCCCCCTCCCCCCCACACCCTCATGCCACAGGGTCGGTTATACAAAGGGGGGTACACAATATGCAAGTTTATATCTTCTCTTTTGTAGCTTGTTATAAGTGTGCTTTACACATGAAAAATGTGAACGAAGCTGTCGATAAATATACACAAGTTGACTTGCAGCTTGTACCACATGCAGAAGTTTTATTTATGTTTCTTTTTTTTTAAACATACCGGTAAATTAAATTGCTACTAACTACTGAATTATATAACCTATAAAGATCAGCTATGGAGGAATATATGGGATATGCTCAATATCCATCCCCCAAAATAAAGGATTGACTGTAGGTGGTCAGGTTATTCTGATGTGGGTAGAGTTCACTGTAGATCCTGTGGATTTGAAGCAACTCAGGCACTTTAAAGGTGTTTATCGTTTTTTTAAATTTTTTTATAATTTTTTTGCGCATGTTTTAAGGTGTTCTTTAATTTGCCATTCTGTTGGGGCTGCTTATGTTAAACTAAAGTGCATGGGCAGTGCATTGTAAAATCACACTTTATTATTTTATGACTCTAGTGTACCCTTATAGAGCACTTTTCAAATATATGTCCGATAAGAAATGATAGGAAATGAAATCGTGGAAGTTAATATTTGCACTTTCAGTTACACAGTGTACACCAAACCTGCCATGTAAACATATACACTATTATGCCTAATAAAATAAATATAATTTATATTTTATTTTTATATATTTATGTATAACTTTAGTCTAAGTGGTGGAATACCTGGTAGGTTGGGGTTTAGCTTTCTTGATAGCTTAACCAGTGCAACAAAGTGTTTTTCTTATATTTTTTGTTACAATTTGTTTTATTTGGACCTCTGATTATGTATTATAAAGTATAGTGTTTTACTATTTGTTGTGATTCATTTAAAACATACCTTTTTCGGTCTTACTGGAATTGGCATTTTTTTACTCTTAACGTGTAGTGCCACCTGCAAAAGGGTACCCCTGCAATTCAGCTCAAAGCATTAATAATATATGGGTTTTCGGACACATAAATGCATTTAGCAACTTATACGGTTTGCACTCCCGTACATAGAAACATAGAAACATAGAATGTGACGGCAGATAAGAACCATTCGGCCCATCTAGTCTGCCCAATTTTCTAAATACTTTCATTAGTCCCTAGCCTTATAGTTAGGATAGCCTTATGTCTATCCCACGCATTTTTGCATTTAAAGGTAAGTGCACATTTGCACTTACCTTTAGGCACACAGGGGAATTACAACAAGAGCATGTTGGAGAATAGGTTATGTCTCCAATTGTAATAAGAGTCAGATAAAAGGGCTTGAAAAACTGTACGTCTAAATTTGTTATATGTGTACACTTTGCATGCTATGGCCATACACATAACACTATTCTGTTTGGCTATATCGGTTTTGCTGCTTTCAAGTCTGTGCGTATGTGTGTGTGTATATATATATATATATATATATATATATATATATATATATACATATATATATCATAAGGTCATCCAGCTTCATATAGGGTTTAAAATTTCAAGTCCAATGCCTGGTGAAAAAGTCACTTGCCACTACAAACCTTCCCTATTATATGTAGTCTTTAAACAACTACTGATGACCTCATATATCAGCCCTGTGGTTAATGTTAAAGTAAGTTGCTCCTTTCTAACGGCATTGACAGTAGAGGGGATCCAAAACACAGCCATAACACAATGGTTGTGTTTTCACTTGCCAGCGCTTGCCCATGGCTAAATATCCATTATATTGAAAATAATGTATCAAATTAATTATGTGGACCACACAAGCTCATATTATTGCATTTTTATGCACTGTATTCTCCTAGTCTTTTTATTTATTTATATTTTTATATATTACTTTAATTCTATCCTAGTGGTGAAATACCTACTTTGGTACATTGGGATGTTTGCTGAGTCAGTTCATCCCAATATTAATAAATTGCATTAGATAATGACCATGCACTTATATGTCTACATAGAGCTGTGCTCTACATTTGGCTCTAATTGATAAATAGCTTTGTTAAATGCACAAACCACAAAAATCACTTTAACAGTCTCATTCATACCCTGCTCTTTTCTTATCTGCACTTTTTAAACAGTGACCTGTTGCGTCTGCTAGGGAAATGCTCTGTCTTTATGTTAATGTCAGCTTGAGTAATTTGTTGGCCCCATAAAAACAAATCATGGCCTTATGGAGATTGGCTCCGGTTAACCTTTATTCTAACAACAAGTGCACTGTGCAAAGCAAATAAATGCCTGGGTCACAGTGACTGCAAAGAGGTTGTACTGTGTGAGTAACATATATCCCATCCCATCCAAGATTTATCCAGCTGATGAACAATTGTTACTAGAGCTGCTTTGAAGTATTTAGAACACAAGCAAAATAAATATTCTGCTTGAAAATTCCACATGGAGTCACAAGGGACATCTGGAATATAATACACAAAGTACAATGCGTATAATTTCCACCACAGTGGATTTCTCTTTGTGCTCCATACATATTGTAGCAAGGCTGCGTATTTTATTTTATTGTGTAATAGTGTATGCGGGACCATATATGTTGTATCAAGGTGGCTGAAGCAATTTGTGAATCCAAAATGTGTTTTGGTTCATATTTTACAAGGGTATTTATCGGGTGTTTCTCTTCAAGCTACAAGTTGCCAACATGCCCCTTAATGGTAATCGTTTTCTAGGGACTATCGAAACATCTGATGTAATAGAGAGTCACAAGAGCAAGAAACCCTGCCCATGAGTGACCGGTGATGCTTTTTTTAAAATTTGTGACGAGGGTAAGTGTAAGTCACAATTTTGACCATCTACTAATAAACATGAGAAGATGCTGGAGGTAGGTGGACACAAGTGAGCGAAAGACATCTAACAGCATAAACATTTTGAATTTTAAATCAGAAATGGGGGGGGGAGGGGGAGTGGATATGAAATAAGTATTTAGTGTAAAATGTTGAGTAAAACACTCTGGATTCTGGATCCCCTTCCGGTTAACTCTTAAAAAAATATATATATATATATATCTTAGAAAACAATATACATATTAACCAGCCAGCTAAGCGTTATTATTTTCATATACTGTAAGACAGAGCAAGAAGTTGACCTGTCGTCTATCAGAATATTCAGCCATGCATTGTAAAGCAATAGTAGCAAATCTGGCAACAAACTGCTTCAAAAAATATCCTGTTTTAGGAATATTTGCATTTCCTTTATATACTGATCTATTTCTCACATCATTTCAGGTTAACAGAAAAAGTCTATTTTAAGGGCAATGCTAGCAAACTATATTTGTACGCATGATTGCTGAAAATGAAAACTTGTAATTACATGAAAACATGTCATTTAAAGTGTTGCCCTTTGACTGCCCTCTGCCATGGAAATGGTCAGAGTCTATCTGGAACCTACAAGTGAAGGGAGTTGAAGTTCTAAGTAGACCTTTCTCAAATCCCTGCAAATAAGAACCCCCTCTTTCTCTGGTTTGCAACCACAGTGTATGCGATGTTAATCGAAAGCAGAAACGTAACATAATAATTAGTTTTCCATCTTTTCACTGGGCTACTCAAGCCAATATATAAACTGTGTATTCTATGTACAGCTGTGGTTCTCACTCAGAGAGTCATGTATCGGAAGGATTTCATCTCTAGCTTAAAGTAATCAATTACCCCTCTGACTTATACTCTATCCCTAATGTGTCTTGTCTGGAAAACAAGAGTAAACATTTGAGTTAACTGCTGAGAGTCCAAATATGTGTATCAAGATACTTATCCAATCATCTGTTGTCTACTTATCTATCAAATAAAGGGTTAGAATAATCATACAAAACCGACAACGGAGAAGAAATAGTGCTTGTTAGCCAGGTCTCAAGACATAAAGAGAATGTGCTCCAGCACATAAATTTTTATATGATAATATGTGGGATATGTCAGTGAAACTTGAGTTTTGTTCCTGGCTACACGAGTGCATGTGTATATACGTACCGTTCACATACTTAGAATATATACTTATATAGATACATATATCTATCTATATACATATATCTATACATAGATAGATATATAATTTTTTATGCACACATCCTTTATATATTTGAGTTAAACTGCTTCAGGAATGCCCAACTTGAAATCCTTTTTTAACTCCCTAAAATGCAGGAGACATTAGTTCTTTAATTTGTAGCTAACATCATCTTAATCAGAAAAGTCACCCATAATTTGGTCATGGCACATGTGTTGAGCATTGTTTCCATGACAACTGTTCTGTACATACATACACAGCTACATGCAGAGGCCATGCCTCTCTGGCACAACATTGCAAAAAGAAGGTGGAGTCCAGTGTGCATATCTCTGCATGGTGACCATTAAGGCACAGTGCAGGGGTGGGGTGGGAGGGCCGAAGCCCAGAGAGTCTTTCATGAGTTGTGGAAGTAGAGGTGCTTGACTCTGCCGGAGAGGATCTTGGGAACTTGGACAGAAATGATCTCAGACATCATTTCGGGGAAATCCACGCTCACCATCTGTGCCTTTACAAACAGGTCAAATGTAAACTGGTGCAGCTCACGGGCAATCTGGGGATACATGAAAGGATACATGTAAACAGCATAAATTGAAAAATGTGCACAGTTATGTCTACATGAGCCAACCACACAGTTATGTCTACATGAGCCAATGAACAGTGCACCAGAATTAACTAGATGAAAAAGTATGTGGAATTACCTTACATTTTTTTTTTACTTATAGCCTGGAATTAAAAGTTTATTTTTATCCATGTTTTCATTTATTCTAACAACACATCCTACTCAAAGACTAATAAATATTATGTCATATTTAGAATAGTTTGAAACATTTCCACACCATTAGCTATAGACTTAGGTGTCATGCTTTCACCTACGTCTTGTGTTCACCAAGGACGGTATTCACTAAATACTGAATTGTGGTGATTTAGAACTGAATTGCAAGATTTAGACCAAAACAACCAAATTGGGTTTAACTTATTGAAATGACTCTGGACATCGTACTTTGAATGAAGATATCCAGCGCCTTCGAAAACCCCACAGGAAAGTATTGATTCTATGCTTTTCTATGGGGAAACCATAATGTACATGCACATTAAGTTTGCAGATTGCAGGGACGTTACAGGAGGAGGAGCCCAAAACTAGTGTCAAGAGACCTCGGCACTGGTATCAGGTAAGTGCATTTTTTTAACCTTTTCTTGACTGCGTGGTGGGACTGGGGGGTGGCACTGCAGAGGCAAAGGGACACTATAGTGCTAGGAATACAATTTTGAGGTGTACTGTATGTCCTCAGCACTCTAACTAGTTCCACTGCATCACTGCAGTCTTTCATCAGGTCCCTCATTGTTTTCTTTGCCAATTAATGTAACACGTTGTTGGGGGAGCTTTTTTCAATCTATCCAGTGGTTGGTAGATGGCTTTGTAATACCACTGATGAGTCTCCTGCTACTAGGTTAGTAACTCATTTGTCAGGTTGCTCCAGTAGCTCCTTGTGGTGCTGGTGTCACAGAGAATGGACAAACGCAGTATCGAAATTGGATCCGAGTCAACGACCAAGCATTCTGACCCTGTTACACCCATGTTCTTTGTGCTAGACCATTTATTAAATTTATAGTGAGTATCAGAGGATACTCTTACTGGTGTACAAATTAATATTTGTGAATTTAATTTTGGTCAGTGTTTAACTTACAGGCTGCACTGAATCCAGGACTTTGGTGAGTTGAAAAAAACGCCTTGAGCTTGCTGCTGGGTTATTTCTTTTACAGGAGATGATGCGGTCAAGTTCCTTGATGTAATTCATCCTCAGCTCATCGAAGCACTTCTGGTCCTTTAAACCTTCCACTGGAACTAAAGAGAGGCAATACATAAATAAAAAATATTATCTCATTATAAATTTATACAAGTCTCATATGATTTTGCTGTTCTGATATCACAGTCTAAATATGCTCCTATGTTCGCTTGACAGACCTGTTTAACTAACGTCTAGCAAGAAAGCTGCCTGTTTAGACAATAAAAAAGGACATATCACAAATCCAGGGCATAACAAATACAATTCATGGGCAAAACTGCCACACTATGTTAAGCGCCTAGTGGCCACTCTGCTACCGCCAAGTCAAAGGCATGCAAATCAACCACTGCTTCCAGCTGCCTAAATTGGCTAGGGCTTTAGCTGATGCCACACAAGATGTCCTGATCCACTTTCCTCTGATCTTGGGTAAAACAGTGGTTCTGGAGGCTCTATGGGCAAAACGCCCTATCAATTTGAAGAATTGCGACTTCTCTTCTTACAAGACCTCTGACGATCCACTTTGGGCCGGAGAAGATCTTTTGCATAGGTCACTAAGGCCCAACGATCAGTTCCTTACAGGTGGGGCCCTTCCCGTACCTTGACATCTAACAAGGATGGACTGTCTCACCACATTACATCATGTGGCACTTTACATGTGAGGCAGTGGGCCTCACTCAGCTGAACGTCACTCCAGCTGGGCCAAGTCACTCCTGGGATGTGTTTCAAGTTGTCCCTTCCACCCCCCGTGCAGCAGTGGACACTGGCTGAAGAGAGCATGATACCCCAGCTCCTCATGTGCAGATGGAGCTAACAAAGGCCCTATCCCACTCATACCTTGCTATAATGATCTCCTGTTGATTCTGTATATCTCCTTTTATTTTACTTTAAGGACCACTAGAGTGCCAGGAAAAAAAACAAAACTTATTTTCCTGGCTCTATAGGGTCTTTGGGTCCCCACCACCCTCTGGGTCCCACTCCTGCCAGGCTGAAGGGGGAGGAAGGGGTTAAATTCTTACCTTTCTCCAACGCCGGGCTCCCTTGGGGCTGGGGACTCTCCTCCCTCTTCCGACGTCATCCGCCGAATGCGCATCCGCGGCAAGAATCGTGCGGGCATTCAATCAGTCCATAGGAAAGCATTTCTTAATGTTTTCCTATGGACGTTGGCATCTTCTCACTGTGAAAATCACAGTGAGAAGAGTGGAAGTGCCTCTAGCGGCTGTCAACGAGACACCCACTAGAGGCTGGATTTACCCTAATGTAAACATAGCAGTTTCTCTGAAACTGCTATGTTTTCAGCTGCAGGGTTATCCCTAGATGGACCTGGCACCCTGACCACTTCATTGAGCTGAAGTGGTCTGGGTGCCTATAGTGGTCCTTTAATTAAATTCTATTTATTTGAATTACTTTTTTTTTTGCTTCAGTAATACACAAATTAAGCTACAATCTATCGGTAGCTCCGGTTAGATATACTTTAGGCCCCCCTCCCTCTGCTGTGGGGATATGGAGCACACTACTCCTAGTCTAAACACTCGCTGAGCTCCAGCACCTATATGACACCTCACCTACGATCTCCACTTGGTCACTTTCGGGATCTCTGCGCCAACTTCGGTACACTCCTGCTGCGGGGCTAACCATACGAGCAGGGATTTTACTAAATCTCCACCTGATTATCACTTTATTATACCCCCATTATTGCAGCACCTTTTAGACTAAGCCCTCACCTTTAATTTTTTCATTCATATTATTTTAAAACTGAGCTAATGTTTCGTATTGCTCTAGATAGATATCAAAGATAAAAATGTGCAGTTTTGTTCCAGCACTTTTCTGCTTCCCTAAATTTTGACCTATGTTTGATTGATACTACTGTATCTTTACATGCAAATGTTGTTCTCTCATGCACGACAAAAAAATAAAGCATAACATATTTTAAAAAATTCCTACTATGGATATGAATCCAGTTATATGAATCCATTTTTTTTTCAAATTCCTACTTTGGATATGAATCCACTAAAGCATTGAGGATCCTGCAAAATTGTGGCTACGGAGAGCACTATATTTTGTGTTTTGTTTTAACATGACACCAATGACCATTCCGAAAGTGGGGTTTGTATGCTGATTTTTTGGAGGCATTTAGAACTCTATTACATGTGAGTGCATAAACAATATACTTACATCACTATTCAAAACCTGCCTTACATACTACACCATGTTTTGTTCCTCTATTCTGCTCTGTTTCATGTCTTGGTGAGGATCAATATACAGTACAAGATAATTAATATATCCTTAGGGATTGCCCTATCTTACCCATCTGAAGCGCTAACTTTGACCATGCCAGTTAACAAAATTAATCAGAAAAGCAGTCATACTTTTTTATTGCCGGAGTAAATAGTATAAGTGAGAATGCCATTTTCTACTGCATCAGAAAAAAATTGGAAATACCTTTTTTACACAGCAGTGAAGGATTCTTCATAGCCTTATTGCTTTACCTAATGCACCTTCTTCTGAATTATACATACTATAGGGCTACCATTTTCATGTGATGCCCATCAATATGTATATGTGATATACGTCCGAGAAAACATGGTGGATCTGGTCACCATACATGATTATATTTGTTAAGTTCCTTGGCAATTTCACATGAACAGTACAACATTGTACTGACTCAACACTGTATTGGAAAATATATATATATATATATATTCCAATACAGTGTTAAGTCAGTATATATATATATATATGGATGAAAAAAGCCAGCACTCTGGGTCTTGTAAATAAAAACTTCTCAGGTTTTATTCCAACAGTCAACGTTTCAGTTCTAATTCAACTTTCTTCAGGTCATTTATGTCCTGAAGAAAGTTCAATTAGAACTGAAACGTTGACTGTTGGAATAAAACCTGAGAAGTTGTTATTTACAAGACCCAGAGTGCTGGCTTTTTTCATCCAGCTATACATTGTGCAGTCAAGCACCAGGCAATACTTCAAGGGATAGCTGGAGTGCAGAATTGTTTGGTATTATATATATATATATATATATATATATATATATATAATATACATACATATAATATAATATATAATATACATACATATAATACATACATATATTCCAAGACAGTGTTGAGTCTACCACTCTATTAATACCAAAAAATTATTTGGTTTTAATGTATTAAAATCTTTAATCAAACGTATTTCTTATTGTGCATTTTATAATTATAAACAATTGTAATATGTTTATGATATCACCTTGAGTCAAAGGATGTATGATTTGTGGGGCACAATATTGTTATTATTATTATTATTATTATTATTATTATTTAGTTGCCATATGCTAATATTAGAAATCAATTATATATGGCTACTAGACAATTCTTATTCATACCTCTTTAACACTGTAATAATTATAAAAGATGGATAATAATAAAATTCCTATTCCTATATTTTAAAAAACTAGTGCTACATTTTAAATGGGTAGCTTTATCAATTTTGTCATGTCACTGGTGTACAATAATACTTACTAATGCTGAAAAGAAGGAGAGCTTTCATGCAGAGAAACTCCTCTGGGGTGATCTGTAACCATCCA